CCTATTGTATACCATTTGTTTGTTTTTTGCGTATACAATAAAGAAAGAAAGGAAGGAAAGTTTCGTACATGATACTGTATATTGAAATACATTCATACAGGGAGAAAACTAATACAGTACAGTACTGCACTGGGGCAGAGGCAGATGGGGTGGGGGGGGGCGCAGATGCTTCGATCACAAACTCTAAAGTATAAGAAAAATAATTGTTTGATTTTATTGTTGATATGAATTACCAGTAAGATTTTCTAGGTACGTCCGGGCACCTGAGGTCTATATATCACAATTTTTGCACCTCAGCCCTAACTATGGTGAGCTGAGGTTTGGTGTCGAATCTCACCGCCCCCTACTACCAAATCCTGCATCCGCTCCAGCAGCGTTAGCCATTTATTTTTTAGTGTAAAATAGATACGTCGTATATAGCGTAGTATGTGGTCATAAATACTTATTGATCCTAACCAGGTTGGAAAAAATGTTATTGGTTAATATTACTATTAATAATAATAATAATAATAATAATAATAATAACAATAATAATAATAATCAATTGGCTTTAAATTAAGAATTCTATAAAAAAAAAATTACAAACTGTTGTAATAATACATTTCATAAAGATTGATCCTAATTTTTGATGGGCCTAGTTGTTGTAACAATATTAACAATTATTAATGATGATCAATAATAATAATAATAATAATAATAATAATAATGAGTAAACAATAATAATATTAATAATGAAATTCAAATTTCAAATAAATATTTATTTCCCTTTTTGTTATATTTTACATGACATAATCAGATGATAAGGATAATAATAATCATTAAAATATAATTTAATGATAATTAAACAATCAATAGGTCTAGTTTAACTAACAAAAGTAGCCTCACCTAGGCATGTCTAAGATCTCTATCTAGTAATTTAGAGTTTACACTTAACTGTAGTGTACACTGTAATGTTCTTTGTTTATTTGAAAGCTAGGGGCCTAGCCTACCCTACCCAATTATTATATAGGTCTAAGCTATAATTACAAGAGTAGATAGATCTAGAATCATTAATAAATACCCAATACGGTCTAACTCTCTATGGTAGCTAGCCTATAACCCATACTAGACACGTTTTTATACACACCGCCGATACGCGGCGCCCTACTCCACTGGCCTCCCATCATGCAATTCGGTTGATTACACGATTTTGGGCTCGCTGCACTGCTGCTCGTTCTTCCTCTATATATTCTTGGATGCATGAATTCTTTCCCCGTACCACAGATAATAATACATGAATTAGTACATTCAAAAATAAAAACAACGATCTGTGCAATGTTAATTTAGTAATGCAGTCAGTAAATCATCCTTTAATAATTACAAAAGGTTAAAAGAATTTCCCAAAATGGAGGGTTATTTAAAAAATCAAACTGATTTCTATGGAAGCAGTTTAAAATTTAAAGCAAGATCCAAAACCCTCCAGCTTAACGCCAAAGCGTGCAAATAGGATCTGACTGTAGATAAGTGCTGCCCCCTATGTCATGAAAATGAAGGGAAATATACGTATTATAATATATGGCAAATATTCATGTCTGGAGATTGTAACGCTAACATGGATATACTTTTGGAGACTCTGCTAAATTTATGAATAAATTAAAAAATAGCATGGAAACAAAGAAATGATAATATAAATTGTAAAACCTAATTAATGAGTTAAATATTTAAATATAAATCATGTACATAAGATCTCTAAAAGCACAAATGCTCCTTATATGTCTCTGAATTTTGAGTCCACAACTTCCATAATACAATACTAGAGGAAGTAATTTAAATTCCATTATTCCCAAGGTCAAATGTTTTGCTACTTCAACTTTTTTCTTTTCAGGCATCAAAGAATGGAATGCCCTTACAAATTACATGTATATTAAATCAATCAGTAATAATTTAACTTTCCGTTAAGAACTAAAAATTTACCCTTTCGAAAAAGCTAAATTTTGAGAAAGCTGCAGTAGTTAACTCTCTGTCTTTGTTTTTTGCTGTGACTGCCTTGCCTTGTTTATGACTTTTTTAATTGTTGCTTTTTGACGGCGGAAGATATTTCAGATTTGTTTTGCTTTATATGGACCCTATTGGAAACAAGTTACTATTTGGCGACTTTCATGGGTTATCTTCTGTATCGTCTTTTTCGTTCAATTTGTCAACTTTTGTTTTTGTTCTGCTCTTTTGCCTTCGATATTTGTGTTTTGTTTGCCGAATAAAGAAATTTAAAAAAAGTGAATTAATTTATTTGTATGCACGAAGCTATCTTATGTCGTACATTAAATCGAAAAAAATAGAGATATGTTGACGTTTTAAATGGTAAAATTTAGACTTTACGTAATGAGTACTTACCGTTAAAGATCTATCGAGTTTTAAAAATTTTAATTTCACGTCTTGTATATATCCGTGTTTCTGTATATATTATTTACTTTAAATTGTTTCCTTTTATAAACACAACGTCTCTATGCTACACGTGACGTGTGCCGCCGATGGAAATACGTATAGTTTTTCATATAAAGTATTGTATACCGTAACTTGACGTATTTTGGACAAATTATTGCGTATTTTGGACTGATGTTCACCAACAGAACAGATGTGCCCACGTGTGTGTGTTGAAAAATAAAACATGTTTATTCGGTTTATGTAATATAATTTTCCTAAGCACATTTATATGTTTATGCTAATGTAACATAACATTGTAAAATAAATAATTGACCATTTTCAATTTACATTAGGGTAGGGTTTGAGAATTTATGTTGAGTATTTATTAGTCTCTTTCGCTGTATAATTAACATTACATGTGCAGTTTTAGGCTTAAGTTAAGTTTGTATTATGTGTGGAAGCAGAGGTTCAAATATGGCACCAGAAGGATGGTTGGTGGGGAGATTGGGAGGGTCCCTTTAAACCATTTTCGAAATATTTTGAGCGACGCCCAACTACGCCCAATTTGCTCTTGTCGATGACGTCGGTCCTCTCTCCCCTTCGGGAACCTTGGTCCCGTCGGGCAAACCCTGTCGCAACCCCTGTATCAGTTGTCTTATCACAACTTTCATCTTTCATTTTCTATGTTTAATGTTTGTGCGTTGCTGCAGAAAGAAAATAAAATAACTTAATAAAATGAAAAAAAAACAAAACAAAACAAAATATATAATATAATACTGTGTAACGGTACTCAGATACACCCCTAGTCTTGGTTTCGGGGCAGGAATATTGATTAATAATATATTATTATGTACCTGTACTATCATACTTTTCTTAAATTAATCTATCTGTATATCTCTTCCCATTGGACATTACTATTTCGGAGTCTGTGTTTTGGGGACCGGAATACGATAATGGTTAGGCCTATATGAAAGTAAAAGTACCAATATATAACTTCGACCATTTAAAGGGAAAGAAACCGAAACAGGCCATTATATATTTAGCTTCTGGGTTGATAAAATTATCATCATCATCTGTGGCATGTTTATATATTTACATTTTCTGTCAGTAGGGTAGCTCTCACAGTGAAAACACTGCTCATTCGAGGGACCCAATGGAGCCACCCCTGATGCAGACTGTGAAACGAGTCCATGCTGAAATTATTTGGCCGCAAAATTTACCGGTAAAGTCGTTATATTAGAGAAAGAAGGATCGGGTTTGGCTGACAAACAATATTTGTCGGTACTGTAATTTGTCAGGCTTTCATGCATTCTTAGATGACGATCTGTTTCACCGTGGATTTAAGTTCAGTAACACTTAAGTTAAGTTCAGTAACATTTATTCAAATCGATATTCATGTGAAAGTAAACAATTAATAGCTATAAATTACGATTTAGGAATCAGATTAGAAGTTAAAAAACTTGTCTCAAAATGATTACTCAACAAAAGAGAATATAATATATATAAAATAAAAATGTTTAAATAAATATATAAATAAACATGCAAAAAGTGTATCTCATATCAGATTATGTTTCTTTTAAAAAAAAAACCCATTTCCAACCATTATAATGATATCGGTGTTTGAGTGACATTTTTTCTACTAGGCATAAGGGCCTAGGCATGTATAATTTATTATTAACAAATTATAATGTGTAGTATTATATAGGGCCTACAGGTAAATACTATCAATTCAGATTTGTATATCTATGCGTTGCTTTATTAGATTTTTTTTATAAAGGACCCAATGGAGCCACCCCTGATGCATACTGTGAAACGAGTCCATGTTGAAATTAATTGGCCGCAAAATTTACCGGTAAAGTCGTTATATTAGAGAAAGAAGGATCGGGTTTGGCTGACAAACAATATTTGTCGGTACTGTAATTTATCAGGCTTTCATGCATTCTTAGATGACGATCTGTTTCACCGTGGATTTAAGTTCAGTAACATTTAAGTTAAGTTCAGTAACATTTATTCAAATCGATATTCATGTAATAGTAAACAATTAATAGCTATAAATTACGATTTAGGAATCAGATTAGAAGTTAAAAAACTTGTCTCAAAATGATTACTCAACAAAAGAGAATATAATATATATAAAATAAAAATGTTTAAATAAATATATAAATAAACATGCAAAAAGTGTATCTCATATCAGATTATGTTTCTTTTAAAAAAAAAACCCATTTCCAACCATTATAATGATATCGGTGTTTGAGTGACATTTTTTCTACTAGGCATAAGGGCCTAGGCATGTATAATTTATTATTAACAAATTATAATGTGTAGTATTATATAGGGCCTACAGGTAAATACTATCAATTCAGATTTGTATATCTATGCGTTGCTTTATTAGATTTTTTTTATAAAGGTGCGGGGCACATAAAGAACGGGGCTCCAGGAGATCAGGGGCCCTGATTCAACGAACCGCCTGAACCTGCGGTAGTTAAAGTCACTGGTTAGTAACGTCACTCTGCATTTACATTCTTTCTCTCTATTCCGACTTTTGAATTGGTTTCAAAACAGTTCAATAACAAGACATTAACAAATTTCAATCGTGCGTATTATATTTTTATTGAACCTCAAAGACGTCAGCCTCTTAAACATAAAAGCGGTTAGTGTAGTTATTGACTACAGCGGTGGCGCCAGAAGTTTGCCGACAAGGTGTCCAACGGAGGGGTCCGAACCAAGGCGACGACGAAGCCCATTCGACGGCCCGGAATAAAAAAAAAACCCTGTTAGGGTTCATAGGGAGAGTTTTCATGACTTAATTTGGTCCTAAATGTGCTTTTAGACAACAATATTAGGGATTGGCAATCAAAACAGCGTTATTTGGATAGTCAAATTATTATTTTTTTAAATTTTTGGTCCGACGACCTAGTCGTTTGTTGGACGACAGGGGGTTCCAGGCTTGTCCCACGGGTGGGCAAATGGCCCCTGGCGTCACCACTGATTGACTATGGAGGAAACAACTGAACTAATTAAGATGAAATTAACAGTTGATAATGATCTTCACTCATAATGGCCATCATGATCTGATCAAAATGGTCACTCGATGCAACTCAGAGTAATGCTATTGTTGCTACTCAGAAATGTTAGTTCACTAATGGAACAAGGTTTATAGAGGCAAATCTCCGTATTATAAAGCGCTTTAAGGATCTATACATTTAGCACTCTTATATACTTTTAATAACTTCATGCCAATAATAATATTAATAATAATAATAATAGTAAAAAAAATAATAATAGTGTTATAATAGTAATAATAGTAATAATAATAGTGTGATAATAGCAATGAATGTATATACTGAATCCAACCTCTTGTAATCGAACCGTAAAGAAATTTAATAAATTTAATTAAATATCAAATAACAGATTACTACTGTACTCCATTTATTACATTGAATGCTAAATATGGTGCAACAAACATATCGTTTCATCAAATCACTTTGGGGGATTTAATATCCAATGGATTAAATCTCGCATGTGTATGGCAACTTATAGTCGCAACGGAGGTTATTCCAGGTCAGGTATGAATTTTCCGCATTCCATTGGGTAACGCAATTTTCAGTTTCAGGGTTATTGGGTTCACCTGTTGACCAGTTGTTGTACTGGTATGGTGAATTGTCCGACCAACTCCAAGTCGTTCCCGACTTCTTCAAACCAATCCAGTATGTGAATCCAAAGCCAACTAATTCATTATTATATGTTTGCCAAAGCGTAGCAACAAACTGGTTTTCATCTTCACTTTCGATGGAGACGAGATGACTCTGTGAGTTTTCGCTGGAGGAGCAATCCTTCTCTGCCTCATCCCAAGTCTTTAAAGATGCGAAGAATCGATAGCATTTGTTTCCGAATGGAACCCAATATTCTGGACATACCTGTACAGTATATTCGGCGCCATCAGAAGGGCTTGCAGCCACCGCAATGAAGATACCAAGTAGCAATACCTATCAATAGAAATATAGTACATATAATACTGAACTTTATATTGATTATAAAACCTCTTAACCGGTTTTGCAATCCCTGTTGGTAATTTAATGTAATGTAGTTAGATTTATATAGAGCTTTATACCGAAATGGTCTCAAAGTGCTCGAGATGTGGAGAAGCTCTTACAGTAACTTGCTTCTCCCCAAAGAGTACCTTCATGTCTGAATGTCTGAGCTACACGGCAGGAGCGAATACAGAAATTAGCGAAAGGGGGTGGGGGGTCGGGACAACATTACCTTAGGAGTCCGCAAAATTTGTGTTTTTAAAACGCCCGAAAATAACCACCGAAGCGTTTTGGGTGCTTAATTATTTCTTTCCTTCTTTTTTTTTCTTTTTTCTTTAATTTCTAAAAAAAAGGGAGGGGGTGGGGAGGAGGGTCCTCTAAATCCGTCCTTGCCCTATAAACCCGATACCAGCTAGTCTCGTCTGTCCACAACAGGGGCTGTATGAACCAGTACACAGGGGTAACCCTTAACTCGTCTCTGAAGAATAATGTACTGGGATCTTTTAATAGTCCAGGTGCTCCGAACACCCATCGCCTTCACTCCCCTGCTTTATACCTATCATTATTTATTTCAGTTACCTATATGTATGACTAACACCTTGTTAGTCAAGCGATTCCTAGTTGCTAGTACATGTAAACCAACATAAAAAATGGGTATCTTTTTTCGTTCTATATTAGGACTGATATGGGGTGGGGGATAACATTTTTTCCACAACGTTTAATCAACTGAATATATTTTCTTGTTTTTAGTACCAACGTGTAAACACATGCGTGATCATAAATTTGTCACGCATTTAGCACAAATCTATGTTTTATTTTTAATGTTTAAACGTGTTTTTATGTATGCTTCTCCTTGTTTATAGGTTACGGTATTTTTGAATAAATTGAATTAACTAACGGAGTGGTATCAATTTAATGCATTTGTTGATATAGGGTATGTGGTTACATGAAATATGCCCACAAATTTATATCAACTGAATATACAGTATTTTGTTGTTATTAGTAGTAAAGTGTAGAAAAAATAGAATAACCCCTATCATTTCGAATAAAGAACAAAGTAACGGCAGGGTTAATTATTTCATATGAGGTCAAAAGGTCACCAACCAAATATCGAAATCGAATTTACCCAAAATATACTGCATATTAAAACTCCCGACAATCATTTACTTATGCCGTTAAAACTAAGTCAACACAGACCAAAGTTAATTAATTAAACATATTAAAATCATGTATAGATAGAATTTTAAATAAAATTTTCACAATTGTGGTACATAATTAACTAAAATAATATGAACTAATGAAATATGGGTGTGTTCATTTTATGCTCGGGAAAAAGATTTAAAGGCTATATATATAATAATGCTGGTCCATTTACACTTTAGCTTTTCTAATTATTATGTAATTGTCAAATTATATTTAATACATAACTATATATTTATATTATAGAGTGTGTATACAAATTAAGTTTAGAAAATTAGCTATGCAAGCACTATAAATCATTAAAAAAATAAATAGTAACAATTTAATATATATGTATATATATATATAATTATATATATATATATATATATATATATATATATCGAAGTGATTCTACACATTCATCCAATTAAAATCTATATTCAAGAAAAAAATATACAGTAAACAAAATTGAAAATGCAAAATTTAAAAATGTCTCTACATCATATAATTTCATTAATGTCAAAAATGTGTCAAACTATTAAATAAGGTCCACAATTTTAATACAAAATTTATTGACAAACGGATAGATGTTTCGTGGACGAATTTTCAAGATCAAGTGAACAAAATATAAACATATGATAGAAAACCAAATGTTTCAAATATTCAATATATATACACTATAAACTACATGTATATATACAATTCTATATTATACATTATATATATACTGTCTCTTATACACATCTAGATGTGTATAAGAGACAGCATACACACAAATACATACATACAAATTTACTTCCTGGTTTAATTCTGTTGGCATACCATCATGTACTGTAGGCCATTACTGTATTATTTTAGGTCCGATCAGGATATTTTATACTGCAGACACTTCTGAATATCTCATCCACAAACTATTTAGCATTTGTAGGTGTGTTCAGAACCCTTTAATTAGGCAAACATTCTAGCCTAGGCTAGAGTTGACTATTGGCCTAGCTGAGGAGAAAGAGTTTAAGAGCAGCCACGGGAAGAAGGCAGCCAGGCCAAGTTAATGGTGTATGTATGTCGTCTAGCTTAATTGCCAGATTATTAGGCAAGCTTAAACACGTTTTTAAAACAAAATTACACAATATTTTTTCATAATCACACACTTAATATGTTCTTTAACTCATGTAACTCAAGGTCAAGCAATAGTTGCTATAAAGGCCACGCAATAGTTGCTATAAAGGCCACGAAGACTTCACCACGATTTTCTTTACATTTGACAAGTCTAGGGCCGTTTTCATAAGGCCTGTCTTCGATTTAATTTTTTTCTATTTATTCGAATTTTTAAATGACCCCTAAAATTAGGCCACGCCCCTAAAGTCTTCCCTATATTTTTATAAAAACTTATTATGTTTTTTAAAGCCAAGCATGGTATATTCAAATTAGGTCTATTTATTTCTTATCAAGTTGGTATCAAACATTCGCCAAAAAGTTTACCGTTGATGATGATTTCTTAGGAATAAACCAAAAGCATTTGCTTAACAACTATAAATGAGAAAATGTTGGCCCTCACCAAAGTAATAGAAACATAACAAAACAAAGAATATTTCTAACCAAATTTAAAAGAAATATCCAGGTATAGTTTACGTCTATGTTATGTATTATACTGTATTATCTTTAAATTTTACTAGTAATATAAAATTGTGCAACTTACGATTCCCATGACTGCCTACTTCTTCAATTTCGTAAAGTGTGGCTTACTATATTACATCACACCTTAAATACATTTTCTGGATCCAGGCTTTGACCAATCCCGGCCAATTCTAATACTGTAAATATGACGTTTGAATTTCCCAATCTCTAGAACACGCCCATCCATTGATATGACGTTGGGAAAATCTCTGCTGATGACAGTCATTTGATGTTGTAGAATAGAAATTACTGAATATAAAAAGTATATTCAACATTAATGCAAGGGGATAGCCATCAATTTCAAAATGGCTGCATTTTTTTAATTGATTTTATTCCCAGAATTGCACATTTATGACAAAAGATGTTAATATATTAAATATGCTCTTATATAAGTAACAAAAGAAATCAAAATAATATTTCACTTCAAATTTGCAAATATTCAAATCCAAATAAATATTCAATCTATTTTAGTATATATTTGATATATGAAATTAATGATTTAATAAGGTCCGTACAAAATAGCCTTTAAAATGAAACAAATTGCTAAGAATAATATATTTTTTTCTTTTTTGGATGGATAGCAAACCTTTATTTGAAATCAATGGTTAAATATTCAACACACACGGTTTTTTCATTCTTATCAAGCGATACAGGATATCATATGAAATATTGATAAATCATTAAAAAAATTATACAGGACATTTGGCATTCAATCTCACTATAATATACTTTTTTTTTTCTAAAATACTTCTGAACACAATTATTTTCCAATGAAACCAGAACAAAATCTTAACTCTGAAAACTACATTGTATTTGATTAGTATCATTCTTTATGTTTTTTAATGGAATTTGTTTTTCACTTAAAGACTTTTGTTTAGCATAATTATATTATATTCTGCTTTAGGTATGATAAACGAGCGGCTAACAATATATGCATAATTATATATTACATACACACACATACGCACCCCTTCCACACAACACCCCACACACCCATACACACGCGCACACAC